TTAAGAAGAAATACCATCAGTATTATTTTTAGAACCTTGTATACCTCTCACAGAACATTCATAGATTCTGGAAAATTTGAGAAAGGCATGGTCAGAGCGGGATTAGCATCCCAGATTTACCATTCATGAACTATGTGTCCATTGTCAAATTTTCCTCTAAAACAAGGGATAATAATATGTAGTTTTGTTGAAAATTAAATTAGATAATGTTTTTAAGACACATGGTATTGTACCTGGCATATACAGTGGAGTTATGTCATACAGATATATTGTTTTGCTGAAATTATCAATTATTATTATAGTTTTATATGCTGGGAGCAGGTAGAACACATGCTTTATTTTTGTTGTTTTAAGTGTGGCCTCTAAACACAAAGCAGCTCTTTAATCTGTGATGTAACTAAAGAAAGCCAACCGGCCAGGCGTGGTGGCTCACGCCTGTAATCCCAACACTGGGAGGCCAAGGTGGGTGGATCACGAGGTCGAGAGATCTAGACCATCCTGGTCAACATGGTGAAACCCCGTCTCTACTAAAAATACAAAAAATTAGTTGGGCATGGTGGTGCGTGCCTATGATCCCAGCTATTCAGGAGGCTGAGGCAGGAGAATTGCCTGAACCCAGGAGGCGGAGGTTGCCGTGAGCCTAGATTGCACCATTGCACTCCAGCCTGGGTAACGAGTGAAACTCCGTCTCAAAAAGAAAAAAAAAAAAGAAAGAGCCAACCATGAAATGCTGGAGAGAAAGTGAGTATGTGAGACTTCTGCAGAGATGGTGTGTTTATAAACAGTAGTGTGTACAAAAGCGTGTACTTTTGAGTGCCTCTAGTGATTTTCATGGCTTATGTGATGACACATGTGATTGTTATTTTACAGATTGATGTTAGAACCTAACACCATCAGCCTGCAGTAGCAAGCCTTGAGCAAGTGTTTCTCCAGTAGTGGTGCCTTGCAGTTTTTCGTTTATTTCTAAGACATACCTGGCTGTATAGTTAAACATTTCTTAATATTCTTTATGGAATACAGAGTTTTTATGCTTCTTTGGAACAGAGGAAATGTCATACTTCATTTATTGATGAGGCTGTTACTAATTGATCCCACCAATAGGCTAGTATAAGGATTTTCAACCCCATGATTAAAGTATATTCTAATAGACCAATAGCATTCTTAATAACCATTTTCTTTGGTTATTCAATTCAGGCTTTGTTTGCGAATTCCTCATACACACAGACACACACACACACTGCTGTTATATAACACAGTAGCTATTTCCCTAATCTACTCAAATAATACAGGATTTTCTCATACTGACTCTTACTGTTCCAGCCAAGTAGACTGGGTGTTTGGAATATTGTCTTTGGATACCTGAAGGCAGGGGTGATTGATTCTTGTGGGCTTGCTTTTTAAATTTGTCATTTGATATTTTCAGTTGCACAGAAATTCAGATAACTGAAAGGAATAACTCAGCAGAATGTAGGCTTCTCCATTTTGTTCTTATTAAATTATCAAAGAATGAAATGTAAAATGAATTATTTAAAATGATTGTCCTTGGAGGCGTCGGGTACCAAGTCATTTAAATGGACTGGTAAGAAGGTGGCCAGAGCCGGGCACGGTGGCTCACGCCTATAATCCCAGCACTTTGGGAGGCCGAGGCAGGTGGATCACGAGGTCAAGAGATCGAGACCATCCTGGTCAATATGGTGAAAACCTGTCTCTACTAAAAATAGAAAAATTAGTTGGGCATGGTGGCACATGCCTGTAGTCCCAACTACTCGGGAGGCTGAGGCAGGCGAATTGCTTGAACCCAGGAGGCAGAGGTTGCAGTGAGCCAAGATCGTGCCACTGCACTCCAGCCTGGGTAACAAGAGCAAAACTCCATCTCAAAAAAATAAAAAGGAAGGTGGCCAGGCACAGTGGCTCATGTCTATAATTCTAGCACTTTGGGAGGCCAAGGCAGGCAGATTGTCTGAGTTCAGGAGGTTGAGACCAGCCTGGGCAACATGGTGAAACCCCATCTCTACTAAAAAACAAATATGAAAGATTAGCTGGTTGTGGTGGTGCTTATCTGTAGTCTCAACTACTCAGGAGGCTGAGGTATGAGAATCGCTTCAACCTGGGAGGCGGAGGTTGCAGTGAGCTGAGATTGCACCACCGCACTGCAGCCTGGGCAACACAGTGAGACTCTGTCTCAGGAAAAGAAAAAGAAGGTGGCCCATTTTGTTTGTTGATGACCTTGGTGAGAATGGCTAGCACAGACAAAGGAAATAATTTCCTGTTCAAACCTAACCTTTCATTCACTCTGCATTGTCACCACCTGATTTTATTCTATGGGAAAATATGAAAACGTGTACTTGTTAATAAACGTTTAAAAACCCAGCCTCCTACAATTTCTGAAGTGCCTGATAGTTTCTTCCAATGAAATTTTCAGTTTTCTGATGTGTTCTTTTTCTTTATAAAAAGGGACTATGTAGTGAAGAGTGTAAGGCAGTGTGGTTTAACTGTTTTAAACCAGCTTAAGGAGATTTTGGGTTGAGATGATGGAGTGTTCTAAATATACAATCCTGTCATCTGCAGATAGAGACAATTTGACTTCCCCTTTTCCTAATTGAATACACTTTATTTCTTTCTCTTGCCTGATTGCCCTGGCCAGAGCTTCCAGTACTATGTTGAATAGGAGTGGTGAGAGAGGGCATCCTTGTCATGTGCCAGTTTTCAAAGGGAATGCTTCCAGTTTTGCCCATTCAGTATGATATTGGCTGTGGGTTTGTCATAAATAGCTTTTATTATTTTGAGATATGTTCTATCAATACTTAGTTTATTGAGAGTTTTTATCATAAAGGGTTGTTGAGTTTTGTCGAAGGCCTTCTCTGCATCTGTTGAGATGATCATGTGGTTTTTGTCTTTGGCTCTGTTTATGTGATGGATTATGTTTATAGATTTGCATATGCTGAACCAGCTTTGCATCCCAGGGATGAAGCCTACTTGATCATGATGGATAAGCTTTGGATGTGCTGTGGGATTTGGTTTGCCTGTATTTTATTGAAGATTTTTGCATCAATGTTCATCATGAATACTGACCTGAAATTTTCTTTTTTAGTTGTGTCTCTGCCAGGGTTTGGTATCAGGATGATGTTGGTCTCATAAAATGAGTTAGAGAGGATTCCCTCTTTTTGTATTGTTTGGAATAGTTTCAGAAGGAATGGTACCAGCTCCTCTTTGTATCGCTGGTAGAATTTGGCTGTGAACCCATCTGGCCCTGGACTTTTTTTGGTTGGTAGGCTATTACTTGCTGCCTCAACTTCAGACCTTGCTATAGGTCTATTCAGGGATTCAACTTCTTCCTGGTTTAGTCTTGGGTGTAAGTGTCCAGGAATTTTTCCATTTCTTCTAGATTTACTCGTTTATGTGCATAGAGGTGTTTATAACAATCTCTGATGGTAGTTTGTATTTCTGTGGAATCGGTAGTGATATCCCCTTTATCATTTTGTATTGCATCTATTTGATTCTTCTCTCTCTTCTTTTTTATTAATCTGGCTAGAGGTCTATTTTGTTGATCTTTTCAAAAAAACAGCTCCTGGATTTATTGATTTTTTTGAAAGGTTTTTTTGTGTCTCTATCTTCAGGTCTGCTCTAATCTTAGTTATTTCTTGTCTTCTGCTAGCTTTTGAGTTTGTTTGATCTTGCTCCTCTAGTTATTTTAATAATGATGTTAGGATGTTGATTTTAGATCTTTCCTTGCTTCTCATGTGGGCATTCAGTGCTATAAATTTCCCTCTAGACACTGCTTTTTTTTTTTTTTTAGCTTGAAAAGACCATTTATTAATCTTATGTATTTACAACTCATGGAGTAAAATATCTATTACCAATAAGTTATTTTGTTTGCAGGGTTTTTTTTTCTTTTTTTCTTTTTTTTTTTTTTTTTGAGACAGAGTTTCACTCTTGTTGCCCAGGCTGGAGTGCAATGGTGCCGTCTCAGCTCACTGCAACCTCCATCTCCCAGGTTCAAGTGATTCTCCTGCCTCAGCCTCCTGAGTAGCTGGGATTATAGGCATCTGCCACCTTGCCCAGCTAATTTTTGCATTTTTAGTAGAGATGGGGTTTCACTATCTTGGCCAGGCTGGTTTCGAATTCCTGACCACAGGTGATCTGCTGCGTTGGTCTCCCAAAGTGCTGGAATTACAGGTGTGAGCCCCTGCACCTGGCCCAGGTTGTAACTTTTTACATTCTTTGTTCTATATATTTTGAATCACGGTATCTGGCTATCTTAGGAAATTTCAATGACAGCCCATTAACAGGCTTTCTAGAAAGTTCCTTATCTCTGAAAAGAAGGTCCTACTGACTCTCAATCTCTTTGTTGACCTGTGATCCACCCACCTTGGCCTCCCAAAATGCTGGGATTACAGGCGTGAGCCAAAGTGCCCAGTGGTCCTACTGACTCTTTTGGCCACTGCCACATACAGCTTCTAAATAACCTATTGTGAACAGCACATTCATTCCAATATAAATAATGGCATCAAGTGACCAATATGAAATATATACCAATATTCCAATGGCAAAGTTTAAATATATAACAGCAATTCAATAATGAACACTAGTTGATTAAATAATTGAAAACCAATTGGAATCTCTTCAAGAAACACACTAAGGAGGAACATAGAGGCAGGACAAGGATTATTTATGAAGAATACATCAAAGAAATCTGACACTTAAATAACAAAAGCCCTTCCAGGCTAAATAGTTCCTTTGTACTAATTTTGTTACAGCCCAAATGAAAATAGTTTAAAGCTTTATGAAAATTACCATAAATTACTTCTTCCATAACTTCTCTTGCATGATTCTAAAATGTTGATAATGTTATAATTTATTTACTTAATTTTATATGAAGATATAAAAATAAATGTCATCATGCATATTTTGTTGACATTTTAAAAACCCACAAATAACTTAAAATGCTATTTAGAAAAACTGCTCCTATTAATCACAAGACTCTTGTTATTAATAAGTATTTATAAAAGTCCATCAGGTTCCTCAGTAAAGCTGAAGTCACACATTAGACACAGGTGGTCTGAAGGATAATTGAAGGAAGGTAGCCGGTTGGGTCCGATCTGTTCTTCAGTGAGCAGATCGAGAGCTGACCTTACATTGAGAGTGTGTTTAGAATACCAGATGTAATCCAGGGTGTGCCTGCACTCCCCTGAGGTCCGGATCTTCCAGGTAGTATATGGGGGTTCTGACTGCCCGTCAGCACTCAGCAGCTTGTAGGTGCTGTTCAGGTTGAGGCTGGAGGAAACAAAGTTTTTGTAGACCTCTTCTGTTGGCTCTGCATTGAAGTCTCCACACACAATAAGGGGAATCTTGGCTCCTTGGGTGATGTATTGCAGGTTCTGAAGGAGGTCACAGCCTTGAGCTGATCGAAACCACTCCCAGCCAGTGCGTTCTTCTAGATGGGTGACAGCAATACAGAAGTGTCAGCCTGACTCTTTGCACTTCAGGGTCTGCACAATGGCCACCTGGTTGGTTTTCAATGTCATGGCTGTCAGCCTCATATTGGCACTGTTGATTAGTTTGAATTGGTTTTGGAGAAAAAATAAGGCACAGCCATCTGATCCATGAATATGTTCCATATCTAGACAAGGTGACCAGGGTTTGGGGAAGAACATGCCTTGGTAGCCTATTCTACTGAGGAGTGGTTGGAAGCTGTCAAAATAGTAGTGGTCCACCTCTTGGAGGCACAATATATCAGGCTGGTAGGCCAGGATTTCTTCCAGGATGAGACATTTCCTTTCTTCCCACTTGAGTGCTTCAACAGGGCATTGTACAAAGTTGTCTTTGCCTTCTCCAAGAGCTTGGGCGAGGATGTTCCACTGCTTGACCCTGAAAGGTGGGTGGGTACTGGAGCAATCTGTCCTCAGATCCACAAAATCTCTCTGGTACCAGGGAGGTCGGGTGTGCAGGACAGCCCTGCATTCTTCAAGTAGCTCTTTAGGATCACTGGGCTCCAGATGTTCTGGGTCAGGTGACACCAAATACTCTGAGTGCTGGCAGGCAGCGCTGCTGTTCAGTGTCTTGGCGAGCGCACTATAGAGTCTGCTTGTACCGTGGAACCGGTACAAGCAGACCTCATGGCGCCTTTTACCATTATGTAATGCCCTTCTTTGACTCTTTTTATCTTTGTTGGTTTAAAGTCTGTTTCATCAGAGGCTAGAATTGCACCCCTGCTTTTTTTTTTTTGCTCTCCATTTGCTTGGTACATCTTCCTCCATCCCTTTACTTTGAGCCTCTGTGTGTCTTTGTGTATGAGATGGGTCTCCTAAATACAGCACACCAATAGATATTGACTCTTTGTCCAATTTGCCAGTCTGTGACTTTAAATTGGGACATTTAGCCATTTACATTTAAGGTTAATATGTGTGAATTATCCTGCCATTTTGATGTTATCTGGTTGTTCTGCCCATTAGTTGAAGCAGTTTCTTCATGTTGTCGATGGTCTTTACAGTTTGGAATGCTTTTGCAGTGGCTGGTACTCGTTTTTCCTTTCCATGTTTAGTGCTTCCTTCAGGAGCTCTTGTAAGGCAGGCCTGGTGGTGAGGAAATCTCTCAGCAGTTGCTTGTCTGTAAGGAATTTTATTTCTCCTTCACTTATGAAGCTTAGTTTGGCTGAATATGAAATTCTGCTTTGGGAAAATTCTTTTGTTTAAGAATGTTGAATATTGGCCCCACTCTCTTCTGGCTTGTAGGGTTTCTGCCAAGAGATCTGCTGTGAGTCTGATGGGCTTCCCTTTGTGGGTAACCCCACCTTTCTTTCTGGCTGCCCTTAGCATTTTTTTCTTCATTTCAACCCTGGTGAATCTGATGATTATGTGTCTTGGGGTTACGCTTCTTGAGGAATATCTATGCAGTGTTCTCTGTATTTCCTGAATTTGAATGTTGGCCTGCCTTGCTGGGTTGGGGAAGTTCTCCTGGATAATATCCTGAAAAGTGTTTTCCAACTTGGTTTCATTCTGCCCATCACATTCGGGTACACCAGTAAAACGTAGATTTGGTCTTTTCACATAATCCCATATTCTTGCAGGCTTTGTTTATTTCTTTTCACTGTTTTTTCTCTAATTTTGTCTTCTTACTTTATTTCATTGAATTGATCTTCAATCTCTAATATCCTTTCTTCTGCTTGATTGATTCAGCTATTGAAACTTGTGTATGCTTCACGAAGTTCTCTTGCTGTGTTTTTCAGCTCCATAAAGTCATTTGTGTTCTTCTCTATGCTGGCTATTCTAGTTACCATTTTATCTAACCTTTTTTCAATGTTCTTAGTTTCCTTGCATTGGGTTAGAACATGCTCCTTTAGCTCGGAGGATTTTGTTATTACCCACCTTCTGAAGCCTACTTCTGTCAATTTGTCAAATTCAGTCTCTATCTAGTTTTGTTCCCTTGCTGGTGAGGAGTTGTGATCCCTTGGAGGAGGAGAGACATTCTGGTTTTTGGTAATTTCAGCCTTTTTGTTCTGGTTTCTTCCCATTTTCGTGGATTTATCTACCTTTGGTCTTTGAAGTTGGTGACATTTGGATGCAGTCTCTGAGTGGACTTCCTTTCTGTTGATGTTGAAGCTACCCTTTCTGTTTTTTAGTTTTCCTTCTAACAGGCCCCTCTGCTGCAGGTCTGCTAGAGGTCCACTCCAGACCCTGCTTGCCTGGGAATCACCCACAGGGGCTGCAGAATGGCAAAGATCGCTTGCTGTTCCTTCCTCTGGTAGCTTTGTCCCAGAAGGGTACCTGCCAGATGTCAGCCAGAGCTCTCCTGTATGAGTCACTCCCAGTCAGGATAAACGGAGGTCAGGGAGCCACTTGAACAGGTAGTCTGTCTCTTATCAGAGCTCAAGTGATGTGAGGGGAGCTCCATTGGTTCCTCCAGAGCTGCTGGGCAGGGATGTTTAGGTCTGCTGAAGCGGGACCCACACTGCCCCTTTCCCAGGTGCTCTGTCCCAGGAAGGTGGGGCTTTATTTATATGTCCCTGACAGGCTGCTGCCTTTTTTCAGAGATGCACTACTCAGCAAGAAGTAAGTCTAGTCACAGTTTGCCTGCAGAGGCCTTGCTGGGCTGCTGTGGGCTCCACCCAGTTGCTGTGTGGACTTCCCAGCAACTCTATTTACACGGGCGAGTTTAGAACTACCTACCCGAGCCTCAGTAGTGGTGGATGCCCCTCCCAACACCAAACTCAAACGTCCCAGGTTGAGCTCAGACTGCTGTGCTGCCTTGAGAATTTCAAGCCAGTGGATCTTGGCTTGCTGGGTTTTGTGGGGGTGGGACCTACTGAGCTAGATCACTTGGTTCCCTGGCCTCAGCCCCCTCTGTTTCAGGGGAATGAGTGGTTCAGCCCCCCAGTTTTGTGCTGGACACTGGGGCACTGGTGTTGTAGGCACCAGAAGGAATCTCCTGGTCTGCAGGTTGTGGATACCATGGGAAAAGCGCAGTTTCTGAACCAGAGTGCCTGGAAAAGTCCCTAATGGCTTCCCTTGGCTAGGAGAGGGAGTTCTCCGACCCCTTGTGCTTCCCAGGTGAGGCAATGCAACACCCTGCTTCAGTTTGCCCTCCTTGGGCTCCTCCCACTGTCTAACCATTCCCAATGGGATGAACCTGGTACCTCAGTTGGAAATGTGGAGATCACTCATCTTCTGGATCATTCTTACTGGGAGCTGCAGACTGGAGCTGTTCCTATTCAGCCATCTTGGCAGAAGTCCAGAGTATTGTTACCATTCTTAGGCTTAGAAGGCAGAGTGTCTGAGTCAGGATTCTGTCGTGTATAATGGATCACACTCTCTTTGGCTTAGGCAGAAAGGTGTTAAATGGCTTGCAGAATTGTTGGGAAGGCTGAGCTTCCAGGAGCAGTTCCCAAAGTCTGTACACAGAACTGGATCACCAGGGAACCTGCTCCCTCCACTAGAACAGGAGCCTTAACTTCAGAAAGCTGCCTGCTCAGTTGGAAAGCTACCACCACAGTTGCCATCACCAGAGCATCTTGTCTCTGCTACAGTATCTGTCCACATAGTGAACACCCTCTGTCCTGCTCATCTAACTCAGATCCCACTCCAGGTCTTGCCTAAGTCCTTCTGATTGGTGGAACTTGAATCACACCCAAAATCCCAGCTTCAGGAGAGCTGTGAGATTTCATCTTTCCAAACTCTGTGCTGCATGGAGTTTGGAGCACATGTCAGCAAGCCAATCCACTGCATTCACCATTGACAGTAAGTGAAATAAATATGATCAATAACATTTGCATTTTTTTTTCACAAAAAAAATGCACAATTTGCAGAGTAGCCATAAGTCACTCTGCATATAAAAATATTATTTCTGACCATTTCCCAAGAAAACAGCTCTTCTAAAAATTGAGAGCAATGCCTACATTATTTTCTAAAGATGCAAACTGTTAGAGAAAACAGGATGTTAAATTTAGAATTCCCTTCCAGCTTCCTTTATTTTCTTCATGTCAGTTCTATTTTCTCTGTGTCTTTTTCTCCCATGGGGATGTCCTCCACCTTTTCAATCTGATTTGCTCTTTGCCGTGCAGACCTGTGGATGAAGAGCTGGAGTCCTCCGAGGTCGATGCTGCTGGCCGGTGGCCTGGTGTCTCTGTTAACAGAACGTCTCCAACACCCCCAGAGTCTGCAACCACCGTTAGGTCACTTATCAAGTCATTTGACTTGGGACGCTCAGGTATTTAATCATTTTTTCTATAAGCAAAGCTCCAAATTCAAATTTTGGCCTGACATTTGATGTGTCTACTCTCTCTACACCCTGGCCCTACATTGCTACAACCACATGGGTGCTTTCCAGGTCCTACCACGTGCAGCCACTGCATGCAGGAGCCTCATTGAGGCTCCAGGGAGGCACCGATGGAGAGCTTGGTACATGAATAACACAAATGTGGCCTCTTCCTCTCTGCCTCTTCTGCCCCTCCAGTTCCTGCCTTGCTACCTTTCTTTTCTGCCTCTCATAGCCATTAAATTCAGGTGCTACTATTAGCCTTTTTGCCATCTCATGAGAATCATAAAGGTCAGCTAGAGACTTCATCCCCTGGGAAATGAGACATCACATCTGTCCACCTGGCCATCTTGTAATCCCCCAGCCATCCTCATCTTGCAACCTGCTTGACATTTTTCTACCTGGTCTTGTACATGAGCACCTGTGCTAATCTGTCACTTTTGATCTAGGCGTGTTCCCAGCTTTTCCTGATATTGTTTGATGGACTCGCAGTTCCCCTTTAGTCATGCTTATCTTCCTATATGAGAAAGATTCTATACTTCATACATAAACATAGCCATAGAAGAAACAGAATGTGTATCTCTCCCCAATAACAATATCTGTCTTCCCCAGACTGCAACAGTCATGCCATTGTATTGGGAGACTGTAGTAAAAGTTAATTCTAGGATGTACCTGGTTGTCTCTGCTAAAATTATTTGCACCTAAATTTGATTAAGACTAGACTCTACATATTCAAAGACATGAAAGCCTTTCATGTCTGTGAAGACTGGAAATGAATGAACAGTAACAATTTGTACAGGAACTTTTCTTTTCCTTCCTTTCCTAGGCACCTCATTATTTACACATTTTCTTTTTGCTCAGCTATCCTGTATCTAAGTCTGACCTCCACTCAGCTAACTCCTCCCTTCTTGTTTCCCCAATTCAGCTCTAGACCAGAAAAGAAAAGGATAATAGAGTAAATATTTCACTAAACAGAGATACTCCTGCAGCCACCAAGAAAAGTAGTGAGAAATCAGGAACTATCAGCTATTTTGAAGTGCAACAACATATAAATGTTCCCATGTTTTTTCTTGGCAGGTGGAGCTGGACAGAATATTTCTGTCCATAAGACCCCCAGAAGTCCCCTAAGTGGGATACCAGTGAGGACTGCTCCAGCAGCTGCTGTCTCTCCAATGCAGGTAGATGAGCCCCAGAAATAATCACTGCTTATGGTTTGCTCTGTATCCCTCTAGATGGTTTTCTTTACACTTAGTAGTGTCTGTGTATGTATGTGTCTGTGTGTAGGGTGTGTGTTTTGTAAATTGGATTACACTATGCATTATTCCAATACTTATCTCACTTTATTGTCAGAATATAAGCTTCATGAGGTCAGAGGTTTTTGTTCATTTTGCTTGCTGTTGTGTCTCTTGTCTATAACACTGGCCGGCACATGGCCACATTATAGTAGAAGTTCAATAAATATTTGTTGAGTGAATAATATGTCAGAGATATCTTCAAATTTCAATATTTGGAGAAACAATTCTTTTTATAAAAGGTTATGTAATATGTGGTGATTTATTTAGCTACTCTTCTATGATACACCTTAGGTTTTTTCAGGTTTAACTTATTACAAAAAACATTACGGTGAAGATCCCTATTCAAACTTTTGACTACCTAAAGTGCTGCTTTTTTAAAAAGGGTATATCAAGATTCATTTGCAAATATCAGAGATCACTAGTTAAAACCAGGAGATCAGTAGTTAAGCAGAAAGGAATTTAATACAGGGCTTTTGGTACTGGGAGGGCTTGAGAAAGCTCTAGGCTGTACTGAGCTTCCAGGAAAGGTTCCCAGAGCATCTGAAAGTTGGCCCATTAAAGGAGCTTCTGTCTCTAGGTGCTTACCCAGGACTGCCACTGCTGCCCAAGATCAAGGATCAGCCTTAGGACAACAGTGCCACAGGTGCAGTCCATGCCAGCAAAGCAGGCTCTGTGCCTGCCTCATACTGCCCAGAAAACAGTGGAACAGACCCTAGAACCTCTGCTCCCCTGCCAAAGAGCAGCCAATGCCTTTCCAGTGATTTTTACCAGGAGAAGCTGCAGAAGGGATTTTACACTCCCTTGCACCTTCCAGATGCTCTCAGAGGCGGCCTGTTCGACAGAAGCTAGGCCACTTGATGAGCCAAGCTTTAAGGGAGTTTGGCTAGTATATATACCCTTTAGCTTCCCAGTCCCCTATAATTCAGTAAGTCACCCTACAAAGAGATGAGGATGGAGTTGAGTAAGCCCTTCTTCAGATCTTCTACAAATTGATTCCTAGTAAAGGAAAATGGAGTCCTAGAAAAGGAAATATATTTGACCTGTTCCAGCATGTTTAAAAACTTGATAGACGCATTGCCCTTCAGTTTGCCCTCCCACTCACAGTACTGTTTTCCCAGAATTTTGACACTGTTTATAAAGTTTGAAGATCATGTAAATGAGCAATAATATCTAGCTTTACTTTATCAGTAAGGTTAAGCACTTCTTCATATGTTTATAGGCCATTTATCTTTTGTATGTATGTATGGAAACATGCATACTTTGCCTGGTTTTCTTTTGAAGTGTCAAGTCCTTTTCTAGTTTGTAAGAAATCTTGATATATTGTGCATTTTTCATATGTAATCTTTTACTGAAGAGAAATTTTACATTTTTGTGTTGTGTTTTCTTTTAAGATTTTGTTTTGTTTCCTGCCTTAAAATGTCTTTCTAGCTATTCGATTATTAAAATAGTCTCCGTAAATATCTTAAGCAAGTCTTTTGTTTGTTCAGTCTTAAAACCTATAAAAACATGGGTTTGGATTTAGATGTTCTTCCCCTATCTTAACTGCCTTCTGGAAGCAGAAGTAAATACTGTCTGGCAGACAATTACATCATCTAGATCCTTAAAATCATAACCACATTTTAAAACGTACAATGTCGTGTAGTAACTTTTACAAATACCAGATATGGCTGGGCACGGTGGCTCACTCCTGTAATCCTAGCACTTTGGGAGGCCAAGGTGGGCAGATCACAAGGTCAGGAGTTTGAGATCAGCCTGATCAACGTGGTGAAAGCTTGTCTCTACTAAAAATACAAAATTAGCTGGGCGTGGTGGTGCTGCTCAGGAGGCTGAGGCAGGAGAATTGCTTGAACCCAAATGTTGAAAAACCAAGAGAAAAATAGACAATGGAAACAGACACAGAAGATTTAGATATTGATATTATTAGACATAGACCCTAAAACAAAAAAATTAATACAGTCAACAAAATAAGAGATAAGGTGAAGAATTTTCACAGAAAACCAGAGTCTGTAATAAAAGAATCCATTAGAGATTTCAAGAGAGGCTTAAAGAACTGAAGACAAGTCAGTAGAAACATCTGAACTGAAGCACAGAGAAAAATGATAGGAAATAGAGAAAAGGAAACAAGAAACATATGGGATGAAGCAAGAAGGTCTCATGTGTAATTGGAGTCCCCAAAAGGTGGGAAAAGGGCAGAAGCAATATTGGAAGGCATAATGACCAAGAATTTCCAAAACTGGTAAAAGATGTCAAGCCCACATTCAAGAAACAATATGAACTCCAAGTGAAATAAGTACAAAGAAAACCACCTAGACACATTAGGTTAAAATTGCTGGATATTAAAGAGAAAGCATCCTAAAAGCACACAAAAGAAAAAAGACACCTCAGTGTCAAAGGATCAAGAGCAAAACTGTCATCTTTCTTCTCAACAAAAATGATGGAAGCCCTGAAGACAGTGCAGTGGCATCTGCAAAATGCTGAAAGAAAACACCCGCTTTCCTTTACCTGGTGAAAATAACCTTCAGTATACTCTACCTGGTGAAAATACCCTTCAAAGGTGAACACAAAAGACAGATGCTTTCAGTCTGACACAACCAGATTTTTGTTTTACTGGGATACTTACAATGAAAAGACTAAAGGAGTTCTGCATGGAGTTTGTTCTTTTAAAGGACAATTAAAATTCAAAACATCTGAAAAGGCTAATGCATAAATTACATGTATCAGGAATTTTTAAATGGATACATCACTAAAGATCTCATAATTATTAAAGCAAAAGAAAGAGAATATTATAGATTACTAGCTTGTGCTATAAATTAGAAAATATTGATGAAATGGTCAAAATCTTAGGAAACTGTAACTTACTGAACTTACATAGGAAAAAGTAGAAAATCTCTCAATCATCTGTAAGTTACATCTTTTCCTTAAAGGAAATGCCAGGTCCTCATGGCTTCACCATGAAACCTCTCAAACATTTAAGGAAGCAATAACATCTTCCTTAGTAAATTCAGAGACTAGAAAAGAAGTTAGCATAGCTTCGATCCCTAATACTTGCAAGAATATTATTAGACAGAAAATTAAAAGGTCAGTCTTTCTCATGAATCTCTTTGCAAAAATCCTGAACAAAATCTTGGAAAACCTTTTTCGGAAATACATGAAAAAGATCATGTCATGTCGGGTTTATTCCAGGAATGCAAGGTGATTTTAACTATTGAAGCCAACCACAGGAATTCACCAGATTAACAAAGGTGTAAAAAGAATATGGTCGGCTGGGTGCAGTGGCTCACACCTGTAATCCTGGCACTTTGGGAGGCCAAGGTAGGCGGATCACTGGAGGCCAGGAGTTCAAGACCAGTCTGGTCACCATGGGGAAACCCTATCTCTACTAAAAATACAAAAAATTAGCTGGGTGTGGTGGCACACCCCTGTAACCCCAGCTACTCGGGAGGCAGGAGAGTCACTTGAACCCAGGAGGCGGAGGCTGCAGTGAGCTGAGGTCATGCCACTGCACTCCTGGGCGACAGAGCAAGATTCTGTCTCAAAATATATGTGTGTGTATATATATATATATATATATATATCTTAGTAGGTGGCACAAAAATGTATTTAATAAAGATTAATATCTTTCTTGATGGAAATTCTTTAAAAACTAGGAATAGAAGGGAAATTCTTTAATATGATAAAAGGTCTCTATTATGTATTTACAGCAAACATACTTAATGGTAAAATATTGCCACAAGATTGTGAATGGGATAGGAATGCCCCATATTGTTACTTTTGTTCAGCCAACTTCAAAAGCAAATTTAAAACTACTTTTGAAAACTGTATACAACCATTATATTTTTGTGGGATGTGGGAACATGGTATTGTGTCTAATGTGATACGAAGTAGGCCGGGCGTGGTGGCTCACGCCTGTAATCCCAGCACTTTGGGAGGCCGAGGTGGGCGGATCATGAGGTCAGGCGATTGAGACCATCTTGGCCAACATGGTGAAACCCCGTCTCTACAAAAAATACAAAAATTAGCCGGGTGTGGTGGCACATGCCTGTAGTCCCAGCTACTCGGGAAGCTGAGGCAGGATAATTGCTTGAACCCAGGAGGCAGAGGTTGCTGTAGGCTGAGATCGCGCCACTGCACTACAGTCTGGGTGATAGTGTGCAACTCTTGTCTCAAAAAAGAAAAGTGATATGAAGTAGAGCCTCTAAGAAAAAGAATGTTCTGGAAAGCCTCAGAATGGCCCTACACAGACAAATATACCAGGATGTTCATTGCAGTATTGTTCCTTATGCTAATATCAATATCAATAGAGAATCACTAAAATAAATTATGGTAATGAAAATAGCTAAGATCTACTGAATGCTTACCATGTGCTGGGCTGTGTTTTGATTGTTCTTACTGGATTTAACTCATTTAATCCTCCCATAACTCTCTGCAGTAAGTACTTTTAGTATCATTGCCATTTTACAGATAAAATAAGGTAGAGAATGAAGTAACCCAGAGTCTCACAGGTGAGTGGTGCCATCTGGCCCCAGAGCCATGTGCTTGGCCTCTTGTGGCACTTCTCATGGGAAGCTGCCAACATGGTGGGTGATGGTGGGTAGAGAATGACATCCAAGATACAGTAAGTAAAAGAAACAAATCGGTATACAAAACAATGTAATGCTATAACATTTGTGTTTTTAGAAAAACAGACTTTTTTTTCAAGGTTTTTCCTTGAATAATATCATGCTTACTTGCATTCTGAAATGCTTTTTTAAATGACAGTAAAAAAAATACAACATGAAATCTACCCTCTTAACAAATTTTTAAATATTATCAATTAGAAGCACAATATTGTATGGCAGGTTTCTAGAATTTTTTTTGAATAATTTCAACTTTTATTTCAAATTCAGGATGTACATGTGCAGATTTGTTACATGGATATATTGTGGGATGCTGAGGTTTGGGGTATGACTGATCTCATCACCCAAGTAGTAAGCATAGTACCCAATAGTTTTTCAATCCTTGCTTCTCCCTCCTCTGGCCCTGCCCAGTATCTGTTGTTACCATAATTCTGTCCTCTAGAACTTTTTTGTCTTGCCTGGCTGAAACTCTGTACCCACAGAACACTCCCACTTCCCCTCTCTGAGGCCTCTAGGAGCCACCACTCCACTGTCTGCTTCTGTGATTTTGACTACTTTAGATTCCTAGCGAACGTGGAGTTATGCCACACTTGTCCTTCAGTGACTGGAGTATTTCACTTAGCGTAATGTCTCCAATACTCATTTATGTTGTAGCATGGGACAGGATTTCCTTCTTTTTTAAGGCTGAATAATACTCCATTGTATATTATATACCACATTTCCTTCATGCATTCATCTGGTGGTGGACACTTAGGTTGCTTCCACCTCTTGGCAGTTGTGAATCATGCTGCAATGAACATGAGGGTGCAAATATCTTTTTGAGATCCTGTTTTCAATTTTCTTGGATAAATACCTAGAAGTGGCATTGCTGAATCATTTGATAGTACTATTTTTAATTTCTTGAGGAATCCTCCATACTGTTTTCCGTAATGGCTGCACCATTGTACATTCCCACCTACAGTACACAGGAGTTTCATTTTCTCCACCTCCTCACCAACACTTGTGATTTTTCTGTTTTTTTAATGATGGCCTTCCTAATAGATGTGAGGTGGCGTGTCACTGTAGTTTTGGTTTGCATTTCCCTGATGATTAGTGATGTTGAGTATCTTTTCATATACCTATTGGCAGCTAAAAAAATACTTTTACACATGTCCTTGAATATACGTAGAACATTCCAGGAAAGATATTCACAAAGCCAATTAATAATGATTACCCTTGGAGAGAAGAACTGTGGGATGGGAAGGAAAAGGAGACTTTCTCTTCACTATTTGTCCTTTTTATTGCTTTTGAGGATTGTCTATTTGCATGTATTGCCTATTCAAATAAATGAGTTAATTATAAACCCCCCTGCTTATTCCACTGTGTTTAAGAACTATTGCACACCCACCTATACCTGTGTTTGTGCTATTCTTGATGTTATGAGCTCACCATGCTGGTGTTCCCCTGCTTTTTACAGAGGCATTCAACTTACAGCGCTATGCAGCCAGCCAGCAGAGGGGTGACTCAACGCTTGGACCTTCCCGACCTTCCCCTGTCAGGTAAGTTATGTAAACATGAAGAACTGTTTACTTATCTTTCCGTGCAGTTAACTTTTCTTCTTTTTTTTTTGCATGAAACTGAGCTTAGAAAAATAATCAGTGGCATTTCTTTCAGGTTATTTCAACCCCTGAATGTATATGTTATGGATGTTAGATGCAGCAGTGCAGCTGACAAAAGGAGAAAGTGTCTGTCTCCTGCCAGCTGCACTTCTCAGTGCCCTTGCGCGAGGGAGACAGGCCCAACTTTGTTGTTTTCTTTTTCTTTTTTAGAGACATGGTCTTGCTTTGTTGCCCAGTCTGGTCTTAAACTCCTGGCCTCAGCTGATCCTCCTGCCTCAGCCTCCCACAGTGCTAGGATTATAGGTGTGAGCCACTGTGCCTGGCCTGTTGTTTTTTAAGTGAATCTCAAGAGCATATTTTCTAATCTTTAAAAAGTAACTAATATAAGGGGAAAAATCTTACCTGATTTTGAATTTGTCTGCTACTTCCACAATTCTCAAAAGTTGCCTCTTTAAAGCTATTTGTCTTTTGGTGTAGTCCTCTTCCTCTTGCTACACCGTGTGTGTGTTGTGTGTGCGTGCACGTGTGTGTGTATTTTTTTGTTTGTTTTGTATTAACTCAAATTTTGGTTGTAAAGTGGAGGTTGCATTCAGCAGTCCCCACTCATCATCACATTTGGGTTTGCACTACATCTCCTGTGTCACAGGCTTATGTGAAGCAGCCATCAAGAGGGGACCCAGGAGCAGGGACGTGTGGGTTTGAGTCTCATCACTGCTGCTCAGCCTGGCTTGGCCCCATCACCCCACCTCTCTGTGCTTTTGTCTCCTCATCTCTAAAATGGAAATAATCCTGTCTACCTCATTGGATCATATCAAGGATTGAGTTAGCATGTTAAAGTGCCTAGAATATGCTGGGCTCGTGGTGAGTGCTGTGGAAGTGTTTGCTGTGAACATCTCACCTGTTCTTCTCTGCTGACCCAGTTTACCTGCCCAGAACTAAAAGGACAACAGCACTTGAGCCTAGTGGGAAGTTCAGGTTGTCCAGAATTTGGGCCTTAGAACCTATGTATGTGTCTATGCGGTCACTGTTAGGAAATAAAAAAGTAAAAAAGAACACGAAATGAACTGTTTATGGGTGCCAGCAGGAAGGATAGAAAGCCAAAAGTCTGCATCACATGGACAAAAATCGTTTGGTTTCTAAGCATAAAATAAAATTTCTACAACTGTACTTCCTTTAGATCTTGGTAAAGCACAATCCAGCTTGTTCTTAAAATAGTTGTTTCTATAAAGGAACTTTCCCTCTGAATAATCTTCTTTGCTTTTTCATGGAATTAAGTAAACATTTTAGAGTTGGATAAACACTGACAATTGAGAATTTAAAGATGATCCCGGCCCATTCCTTGAATTTTACATGGGAGAGATTCAGGCCCTACAGAGATTGAGTGACTTATTAAGGCTGCAGTGATTTTGGGTGGCTCTCCGGCCAGGAAGTCTCCTGATTCTTTCTACCATGTGCTTCTTGGTGCTGAGGCTGGTGATTTCTAAAGAAGTGATGATAGTTTATGTGGGACTCCAAGTCATGATAATGACTTCCCAGCAGGAGGAAATGAAAACCAAAGGCCGATGTAAAGTCAAGAGTGTAAGAACAAACAGATGGAGTTCAGTGGAGGTAGAGAAATAAGAGAGTCTGCGCTGCAGGAGACCAGGCCTGAGTGTCCCGTGCTAGGAGGGGAGTGGAGGATGCCAAAGCACAGCGGGACACCCACTTGGCTCACAGTTACCGCTGTGCAGCACAGAAGAGGGAATAACTAGATTATATGCATAGTGCTAGGTGTGGGGTTTTTGAAAAATTGTGTTAAATGACACATAATATAACATTTACCATCTCAACCGTTTTTTAAGTGTACTAGGTAAGCCTTTGGTAGATAATATTTGTGTCTTCTCTGTTCCACTAGCCTTAACGTTTCCTGTTGTGTAGAGACACCATTCTTTTTGGTTTTCTTTGAGACAGAGTCTTGCTCTCACATAGGCGGGAGTGCTGTGGCATTATCATAGCTCACTACAGCCTCAAACTTCTGGTCTCAAGTGATCATCCTGCTTCAGCTTTCAAGTGGCTGGGACTAGAGGTGCATGTCACCATGCCTGGCTAATTACAAAAATAATTTGATGGGTAGAGACAGGGTCTCACAAATTTGTCCAGGCTGGCCTTGACCTCCTGGCCTCAAGCAGTCCACCTGCCTTGGCCTCCCAAAGCACTGGGGGATTACAGATGTAAGCCACCACGCCTGTCCAAGAAACCATTCTTTTAGTTTACAAGATACATACTGAACTTGAGACCACAACAGCTATTGCTCTGAAGTTACTACCTCATTGACAGCCCTCCCCACTTTGCCCCCACCAGGCACCTGTCTGCTTGGATGATTCTATTTACTGTTATTACAGCAAAGGATTGCAGTGACAATTACTTGCTTCTGGCAATCTCCAGAAATTGCTTGTCAACGTTGAGGTCATTGGAAGCTGCAGAAACTGAAGATAATGTGCTGTTCTTGTTGTTGTTATCTTTAGTGATATAAATACTGTTTTTCTCTGCTATTTAGAGCTGACTAGCCTCACTCCCAACCTTACTGCCCCTAACCGATGGCTGTGAGCTGTAAAAGGATTGTTTTCTTCTGTGACTATTCGCAGGTCATAGGGACAACTCTGGGCTCATCCTGGTCCCTGGCCTGCTATGTAGCTTTGAGCAAGGCACTTAATTCTCTGAGCTCTAGCTGCCTCTATAAATATGAACTAGACAATCTTGAAAAGTTTCTCCTTTTCTATTCTTTTATGATCCTTTAGGAAATATCAACTGGCTAGACATGGTGGTACACTCTCCTGTAGTCTCAGCTACTTGGGAGGCTGAGGCAGAGGATTACTACAGGAGGTCGAGTCCAACTCCAGCCTGGGCAACACAGCAAGACCCTGTCTCTAAAAGAGAAAAAAAGGAATATCATCTGGAGGATTCAGTCCATTTCATTACCTGTTTTGACGCAGGCTAATATGACAGCAGAAAGAAGCCTTGAAAGCATGATTTTTACTTCTTTTTTAGCAAGCAAGGCCCTATGGTCAGAATGGCCTTTTCTGTTGTAAAATAGTTTTTTTTTGGTTACCAGCTTCTTGTTTGCCTGTGATCTGATCATCATACAAGGCATTTTTCTGCCGTTACCTCTCAGATGTCTATCAATTAAAACAAAAGATATTACCTGGGGACAGGGCTGGCTTTGTTGGCACTTGCACAAGGCCCTTAGAAGAGCACATGCTTGGTGTAATACTTTGATGACATCACAGTAATTTTTGAACAAGAGGTTGATCCAGCACTAGGTCCTATAAATGATGTCGTGGTCCTGCCTGGAGAATCCATATCCCTATTGCATTTTTATTACTTCAGAAACTATATATATGTTTTTATTTGAGGATAAAATGAGAACTGTATTATATTTGAGAAGAAATATGATGGCAGTCAAGAGCTGCTCCTTCAGGAATGGCTGATTATGTGGTTGTTCCCACAGATATTCTAAAGGGAAGGACTGAAGCCCTGAAGCCGGACCCCCACCTCCGCAAGAGTCCCTCACTGGAGTCACTTAGCAGAACCCCATCTCTGGGCTTTGGGGACACGAGACTGCTGAGCGCTTCCACCAGGGCATGGAAACCACAAAGCAAACTCAGGTATCATGTTTCAAACAATAAGAAATCAGAAAAACATTGGGCTGATCACCTTTTATTCTTGCTGTTTGTCCCCATGGCCAATTTACTTCTACAAATATTTCCTGCATGAACATTACTAAGACACTGTGCCTGCCCTTGGTGAGTCTAAAAGGAGACACTGGACAGCAGTAGTATGCAAAATGGAATTAAGGGCTGTTAAAAACAATACTACATAAGAAAAGTCTTGAGAGGTTGTTAGTTGGATCAAGAAGTCTAGAGAGAATTGGCATTTCTGCCGAGGGCCCTAAAGGTACCATTACAAGCATGCTGTGGAGCAGTGTTCAGGGAATGTGGGTGGTATTGTGTGTCTGGACTAGACTATGGGCTTCCTGAGGGCAGGGACCCTGCCATACATATGCATAACAAGCTCTCTGTCAGTATTTGTTGGGTGGATGGATAGGTGAGTAGGAAATTCCAGCTGGAAGGCAGGTTGGAGCCATATTGTAATTAATCTTCATTGCTAAGGAAGAGGTTTGTGTATTATTTTGGTAAAGGACTGGGGAACTACCAAGTTTGTGGGATTTTGTTTCAGAGTTTGAGGTTGTACAGTGAGATTGTACCTGCATTTTAAGGAGATTCATCAGAAAACAGTGGCATGTAAGGATTGGAGAGGCATATGAAATCAGTGTTTATTAAGAAGGACTTTCACAAGGATGTGAAGGAGGGGTTGGCAGAGGGAGAGGATGGCAAGACCAGCAGGGTGGTCACTAAGAGCAGGTCTTTGCTTCCACACCTCTGTCACCTCCTCCCTTTTCAGTGCTCCTGGTCATCCAGGCTACAGCAAACCTTTCAGCTGCCCCTTCTCTTTCTTATGTCTTCCCTGCTTCTCTGTGTTGGTTAATCTTCTGAAGCACTGAGCACATCCTGCTGCAGATCTCACAAAAATCTCACATGACTCTGTCATCCACACTCCTAATCCTGGTCTTCTAGATGCCTCACGACTTAGCACTACCCCACCCACCTTCCAGGATGGCTCTGTTCCTCCCTCCACCTGAGCCTGTTGTAGTCCCTGCCTTTGTAATATCACATGAGAATTTCTGATTGCAAGTCTTTGTGTATAAGGTTTTAGCCTGAATCATTTTTCTTTTTTCCTTTCATACTGTAAATACTGCTTCTCCTTCAAACCTTTCTCTTTTTTTTTTTTTTTTTTTTTGCATTGTACCTTTTAATTGCATGGGTAGTTTTAAATAAATGGAGAAAGCACCTTTCAGAATCCATACTAGCAGGAAAAAAATTCCATTAAGCATTTACATGGTTAATTTCTATAATTTCACAAAAGATTTTTGATCTTACTTGAAGTATACCTGCCTGAGGTGGTTCTTTTTGCTTACAGAAGCAAACTAAAGGACCTAAAACTGGAGACAAGCCTGGATACCAAAAAGGGGGAAGAGACATGGTAAAGAACCATTAATGGATTCCATGTCTACTTCAAGACATATATAATAAGTATTTTATACGTAATATATATTTTAGGGCAAACTACCACACTTAAGATAAAAGTACAATCTTTAAAAAAAGCTGTAGTTCTCAATTACAGTTATGTATCTCAATACCTTGGACTGCTGGATGTAAAAGACAACACCTGGGGGTCATCTATGAGGTTTGAACAAATACTTTAGAGGAATTCTCTAGGACTGTATACTCTATATTTTGGCTTTCTGAATGAAGTACAACAGGCTTCTCTGCTATCCCCCAGGCAGTATAATAGTCAAGGAAAAGAGCAACAGTATTGGATCACTCCTTAGACACGAATCAACTGGGGAAAGAGTTTATTGGCAAAAGCATCCTCCCAAGAATGGTTTACAGGCGGAGAGGACATGTCACTGAAGGGAGAAAGGGAGCCCCCATATCCACAGTCACTGTAAGCATCCAGTAGGCAGGAAGATGGTTTCAGGCAGTGGCTGGATGAAAGCAGATTTGAGATACCCAGCTTTGGTATGAGGTCATCTTCTACAGGTTTTACCTTCACTGAGACAATGAATTCAGGGTGACCTTTTTCTGAGGGGCTGAGAGGTGCTTCTGCAATTTTCACTACCACATTAGCTTGGCTCTCTGTCTCAGAAGGTATCTCTAAGACTAGGGGCTTGGTATATATGTGGTCAAAACGAATTAGTTCATTAATGGCTTCTAGCTTGGCTGATTACGTCCCCACTGACAGAGAAAGGGAGGCTGATAAGGAACTAGGTCCTTCTGGGTAGACCTCTGGGAGCTCCTCCAGGCTGGCAGGCTCTGGGAAGGGCATTTGAAGACCATGACTGGGTCCAAGTTGTCCAGAATGCCTAACAGGATATCAGACTCTGAATCTGAAGAGTCAATACCGTTAGAATCCATGGGGAGATGTTCTGGAGGGGTGACAACTGGGCCTGCACCTGCTACACAGGTGCAGGTAGTCTGAGTGCTGAGGACTCAGCAGACCCGGTCACTAGCCTCACTCCATTCCCCTTGGCTTCTGCCTTCTCTTCAGCAACCAGGGCATCCATCCCCAAACGCTGTCTTAACTCCTGATTCTCAACTACAAGGCCGTGAGTTTTTTCTCGTAAAAGCTGATTTTCTAGCAAAAGTTTTTGGTTCTCTTCTGAATCTACCGCTTGCTGTTCCAGCTCTTATTCGAGCTTTCTTTCGATCTCTGGCAGCCTGAGCTGCTACTCTGTTTTTCAGTTTCCTCCTCAGCACGCACCTTTTCCTCGGGGCTCAGGTGTGTGAGCCGCTGTCGCTTCCGCACCTGGGGCGGCCCCCCGCTCGCTGCCTCCAGACTGGCCCCTCTCTGGGCCGGCACCATGAGTGGCAGGGCCTGGCCGGCTGGGGCTCCAGCAGCGGAGGCGGGCTGGACAGAAGCAGTGCTTTAGGGGTCCTGTCGGCCAGACTTGGCGCGGGGCCACCACCATAGCTAGAAACTTCGCACGGTGCGCCACCACCGCCACCACTGCCCGGCCAAGGTCAAACCTTTCATGAAGTTGTACCTAATACCTGGCACATTGACATATCCCTTCTCTGACTTTGGTGTCTACACTGTTTTGGGCGTTTAGTTTCTGTGCTGCTTTGTAGTGTAGAACAGTGTTGCACAGTACATGTCATTGCCTCCATTTATGCTATAATTTAGTGGACAGTAAATGTTTAGCTTACATTCTGGTATCTCTTCCAGCCCCTTGCATTGTGCAACACACATAGTATTTCACTTAGTAAAACTTAAGAATTGAGTAGAGATGTATCAATATACAAAATTGGCTACATTAGGAGTAATAGCTTTTGAATAAATATTATAATTACAAATATGGATATCATAGAAGGATTTATGAAAGTCTGAATTAATTCAGATCTTGTTACACCTTTGGGTATAGCATATATTTGAATCCAAATAGATGAAGTCATGTGTTTTACAGGTGCAATGTAAAGCCCCATATTATATATTGTCCTGTTTAAGCACAAGCAATTTATATAATTGAAAGAGGTTTTAAGGACCAGAATTAGTGCTATTCTGAATTGTCCTTTTCTTTATGCCAGAAATGCATACAAAAGGCTATGTATATATGAATATGCTATTCATAATTGATATTTTACCTTTCATAATGAAAGACTGATAAAGGTTAAAATTGACATTTTACCTTTCATAATAAAAAGGTAAATTAGTAAAATTCTTATTTCAATTTTACATTTATGTAATTGAGATAAACAATGGCAGGATATCTGGTGTTTCTAATATGCCCTTCCAATCTACCTTTAAAATTTGTTTACTTTTATTTTTTGGAGATGGGGTCTTGCTCTATTATCTAGGCTATAGTGGGGTGGCACAATCATAATGCACTACAACCCTGAACTCCTGGTCTCAAGCAGTCCTCCTGCCTCAGCCTCCTGAGTAGCTGTAATTACAGGTGCAGACCATTATGCACAGCTAATTATTTTATTTTTTATTTTTTTAAAGATGGGGTTTTGCTATGTTGCCCAAGCCGGTCTTGAACTCCTGGGCTGAAGCAATCTTCCTGCCTTGGCTCCTAAAATTCTGGGATTATAGATGTGAGCCACTGCTCCCAGACAATCTACCTGTTACATGTTATTTAGATATTGGTTTAGGCTTGAAAGATGTAGGGTGTGTTTTGTTTAGGTATCTTTAATTCAAATAATGTCATACTTAAGTAAACAAAGAAAAGACTAGCTGGATGAGCAACAGATGGATTTTAAAACAAAATGTAACACAACTCTCCTTAGATTTATGATAGTCAGGAAGCACAATTTAATTTTTATTTTATACGGTAAGATATAAAATAGTAATGTGACTAATTCGGCTATTCGTTAGAGTCTTGCTGGATGAAGTAGACTTTTGCTTTTCTAAAGTAGGTATTTATTTCTTGTGTATTTGAGGATTCTAAATATTAGCATCTTCTCCTAACTATGTGTCCTTTCTAACCAGTGTGGAAAGAAAAGACCCTCTGGCGGCGTTGGCCCGGGAATATGGCGGTTCCAAGCGCAATGCTCTACTGAAATGGTGCCAGAAAAAGACACAGGGTTATGCGGTAAGGGACATCAACCAACATCCAGCTGGCCTCAGACAGTAGTATCCCTTTGTCAGTACATGTTCCATATGTGCCTGTGCTTGGTGGGCTGAGAGGTGTGTAATTATCATCTTTCTGTTTTCCTAGGCAAGGCTGCCAGGGAGGGTTTGATATCTGTGTACTGCCCAAAGGCACCCAGACAGAGAGGCAAATGCAACTGAAAAACAGTCTGCACTCCACCCAGCACATGAGGCCCAAAGAGTTCTCCCAGCAAGGCTTTGTTGGAGCTTATGCCTAGGCATGAGGGAGGAAGCACAGGAGAGGGAGGATTCTCTGGCTGACTTCCTGAAATGAACTGGTAGGGATTTTTTTATTAAGCAGGAATTAAGAAGGAATTTATATCAAGGTAGGGAACGTGGGCTGGGCTGGGTAGAGCAAGTGAAGGGTAGGGGATGTGGGTCAGTTTATCTGCTGACAATGGTGGTCTTGAGTAATGAGCTAGCTGGTGTTCTGGTCAGTGGCAGCAAGGCTGGACATCAGTTGTTTAGCATTCCTTCCTGAGATGGGACATTGGCAATTTTGGTTGGATATTTTGGATTTCCTAGTGTTAGTTTCTGGAATTCTTTAAGTAAAAAAATTAAACATTCTTTTATTCTTTTAAACATTATGAGAGTGCAGAAAAACAATGCGGTTAATTTCTTTGCATGACTGCAGGTATGTCAGTGATGTAATGGTGTGGGTTTTGTGATCAGTGGGAATGCGAGAAATAATGCTGTAGTGGGGGTAAACTGAAGATAAGCGTGTCCCTGTACTGTCTCAGAAATTGGTTGATGTATTCCTGGTGGATACATACTTAAGAATGGAACTCTTGGGCCATAGGGTTGCATACAATTTAGTGGATAGTGCCAAACAGATGACTGAAGTAATTGTACACTTTCTGTCCCTCCAGCAATTAATGAGAGATTTATTTATCTGCATTCTTATCAGCACTTGGTATTGTCAGTCTTTTTACTCAAGGGCATGAGGGTAATGTGTAGTAAGTAGTGTCTCATTATGGACCTAATCAAACTCCACAGCTTCTGCACAGCAAAAGAAACGGTCATTAGAGTGAATTGGCAACCAACAGAATGGGAAAAAATTTTTGCAGTCTACCCATCTGAAACAAAGGGCTAATATCCAGAATCTACAAAGAACTAAAACAGATTTACAAGAAAAAAACAAGCCCATTCAAAAGTGGGCAAAGGATATGAACAGACACTTTACAAAAGAAGACATACATGAGGCCAACAAACATGAAAAAATGCTCATCATCACTGGTCATTAGAGAAATGTAAATTAAAACTACGTTGAGATACCATCTCACACCAGTTAGAATGGCGATCATTAAAAAATCTAGAGACAACAGATGCTGGAGAGGATGTGGAGAAATAGGAACACTGTTACACTGTTGGTGGGAGTGTAAATTAGTTCAACCATTGTGGAAGACAGTGTGGCGATTCCTCAAGGACCTAGAAACAAAAATTCCATTTGACCCAGCAATCCCATTACTGGGTATATATCCAAAGGATTATAAATCATTCTTCTATAAGGACACATACACACGAATGTTCATTGCAGCACTGTTCACAATAGCAAAGACCTGGAACCAACCCAAATGCCCATTGATGATAGACTGGACAGGGAAAATGTGGCACATATACACCATGGAAGAATAATAATCCATCAAAAACGATGAGTTTGTGTCCTTTGTAGGGACATGTATGAACCTGGAAACCATCATTCTCAGCAAACTGACACAAGAACAGAAAATCAAACACCACATGCTCTCACTCATAGTTGGGTGTTGAACATTGAGAACACATGGACACAGGGAGGGGAGCATTACACACCGGGGTCTGTTGGGGGGAAATAGGGGAGGGACAGTAGAGGGTGAGGAGTTGGGGAGAAATAGCGTGGGGAGAAATGCTAGATATAGGTGATGGGGAGGAAGGCAGCAAATAACACCGCCATGTGTATACCTATGCAACTATCTTGCATGTTATTCAAATGTACCCCAAAACCTAAAATGCAATTTAAAAAAGGTATTTATATCCTAGGAAAAGTTAATTTGCAATTAATAACTAGCATTTCTCTGTGTAAAATAATCAGCAAGTTTCTTTCTGTTTTTGCTCCACTTTTTCTCCCAAAAAGTCTTGTATATAAATTCTAAATGTTAGTGTTCAGAGTGGACACCACACTCCAGCCCCTTAAGACAATCAAGGTCCTTCCCTCTTCCCCACTCTCCCTCCCCCTCCCCATCTCCCCCCTCCCCCTCCCTCTCCCCCCTCCCCCTCCCTCTCCCCCCTCCCCCTCTCCCTCTCCCCCCTCCCTCCCTCCCTTCCTTTCTTCCTTTTTTTTTGATAGAGTCTCACTCTAGCACCCAGGCTGGAGTGAAGTGATGTGATCATGGCTCACTGTAGCCCCAACCTGCCCAGACTCAAAGGATTCTCACACCTCAGCCTCCCAGTAGCTGGCATTACAGGCATGCACCAACATGCCCAGCTAATCTTTACATTTTTTGTAGAGACAGGGTCCCATCATGTTGCCCAGGCTAGTCTTGAAATCCTGGGCTCAAGCAACTCCTGACTCAGCCTCTCAAAGTGCTGGGATTACAGATGCAAGCCATTGTATATAACCTTCTTTTTTTTTTTTTAGAGACCAGAGTCTAGCTCTGTTGCCCAGGCTGGAGTGCAATGGTGTGATCTCGGCTCACTGCATCCTCCACCTCCCAAGTTCAAGCAATTCTCCTACCTCAGTCTCCCGAGTAGCTGAGATTACAGGCACCTGCCATCACACCCAGCTAATTTTTATATTCTTAGCAGAGAAAGGGTTTCACCCTGTTGGCCAGGCTGGTCTTGAACTCCTGACCTCATGATCCGTCAGCCTCAGCCTCCCAAAGTGTGGTGATTATAAGCGCGAACCACTGTGCCTGGCCATGACCTCCTTTTTAATCGAGGTATAACATACATGTGTACATAGGGATGTCCACAAAATGACCCAGGTCTAGAAGGCACAGTTTCAGTCCCCCAGAATCCTCTTCATTTTCCCCTGGTTACCAGATTCCACTCAAGGATAACAATGATGGAATGAATATCAAGGAAAATACCTGAAGATATAGCCTATAGCCTATAGAATACCTGCTTTTTATTTTCTTCTCATTGTTCTTTTGATGAACCCCTGAGTCTCAGATGAGTGGTCCTTGGGAAAGGACCTTAGTGTATTAACATTCCTGGGGTAGTCTGTGTTTCTTCTTAGTTTTGGCTGCTTCTGTGAGCATTGAGGACTGTTGCCCAGCAGCTTACCCAGATTTCACCTCCCTTTCCTCTAAGGACTGAGCCACCTCTAATGATCCTGTGAACAAAAATGAGGCTTTTCACCCCCATCCAGGGGTAGGTCCTGGAGTGAGTCCTCAGCTTGCTTCCTAGGGTGCCCAGGACTGGCCCAGCCACCCTTCCCCAACAAACTGCAGTTTTTCTGCCTGGTGCCCAGTACATTGGCCCTGCCCACATTAGTACATTGCTGCCATGGCTTCCTTGACCTCTCTGGTCACTGCAGTGGGCCTAGATCTTAACCTACCTACCTGGTACCCACAGAACCTGCCTAGCTCCTGGCTGCCTAGGGCTGGATTCATTTTTAGTCCAGGAAATCGGTCCCCCATAGCCTGGTGAATGATGGCATGATCCCATCACTGCTGCCTGCTCCTTCCCCCACCCCCTGAACCAGCCCCCAGGCCTCAAGCTGCAGGAGCTCCTGGAGACTGTGCTAGCCCAGAGGAAGTCCTGGCTCCTGGAGGACTGACCCCCTTAATGCTCTATGAGGTCATTGACTGCCATCCTCAGCCTCCCCTAGCCTCACCTGGGCTCTGCTGATGAGGGTGCAGCACACCACATAGCTCATAGCCTCTGTATGTGGTCCACAGGGGAACAGTAATTTAAGTGACGTGCCTTTTCCAGAATGATCTGAGAGCTCTGATAAAGCATAACTCAATTCGTCTCTTTTCTGCAATTCATCTTCCATCCATGTGGAAAGTGTGAACGATATCAGTTGTGCCATATCACGTCGACAGACCCCTTGCTCCTGAAAATATACCTTAGAGCTCACAAAAGCACACCCTAGTGACTGGAAAGGAAGCCACTTTTGTTCTAAGAACAGCAGCAGAGCAGCCTTTGAGATGCTCTGCAGGTTGCTGCTTGGCCTCACATCCGAGATGTCCTAAGTGCACATAGCTTTTTTTTGTTTATTTCTAAGAAACCTTTATTATTATAGTTCTTTTTTAAAATCAACTTTTATTTTAAGTTCCAGGGTACATGTGCAGGATGTGCAGGTTTGTTACATAGATAAATGTGTGCCATGGTGGTTTGCCACACAGATCAACCCATCACCTAGGTATTAAGCTCAGCATGCATTAGCAATGCTCCCCCTGGCCCCCCAGCAGGCCTCAGTGTGTCTTGTTTCCCTCTATGTCTTCTTATGTAGTCATCCTTCACCTCCCACTTATAAGCGAGAACATACGGTGTTTGGTTTTCTGTTTCTGCACTAGTTTGCTGAGGATAACTGCTTCCAGCTCCATCCATGTCCTTGCAAAGGATATGATCTTGTTTTTTTTATGGCTGCATAGTATTACATGGTTTATATGTACCGCATTTTCTTTATTCAGTCTGTCATTGATGGGCATTTGGGTTGGTTCCATGACTTTGCTATTGTGAATGGTGCTGTAGTGAACATATGCTTGCATATATCTTTATAATAAGAGGATTTGTATTCCTTTGGGTATATATCCAGTAATAGGATTGTTGGGTCAAATGATTGCTGCTTCTGGATCTTTGAGGACTACAAGGAACTTAAACAAATTTACAAGAAAAAAACAAACATCCACATTAAAAAGTGTGGAGGCAGCAAACCACCTTGCCATGTATGTACCTATGCAACAATCCTGCATGATCTGCATATGTACCCCAGAACCTAAAGTACAATAAAAAAAA